AGCCGGCAACCCTTTTCACTGCAAACCGGCCTCAGGCCCAGGACTATGAGCACCAGGTCCAGCATCATCAGCATAGCCAGCCTTAAGCCCAGCATCATGAGCCTCCGCTGGCAACCCTCTTCGCCGCAAAGCCGGCCTCAGGCCCAGCATCATGAGCATCACCGGCTGCGCTTTTCAACGCAGCCGGCCGCAGGCCCCACATCATGAGCATCAGCCGGCAACCCTTTTCACTGCAAACCGGCCTCAGGCCCAGGACTATGAGCACCAGGTCCAGCATCATCAGCATAGCCAGCCTTAAGCCCAGCATCATGAGCCTCAGCTGGCAACTCTCTTCGCCGCAAAGCCGGCCGCAGGCCCAGCATCATGAGCATCACCGGCTGCGCTTTTCAACGCAGCCGGCCGCAGGCCCCACATCATGAGCATCAGCCGGCAACCCTTTTCACTGCAAACCGGCCTCAGGCCCAGGACTATGAGCACCAGGTCCAGCATCATCAGCATAGCCAGCCTTAAGCCCAGCATCATGAGCCTCAGCTGGCAACCCTCTTCGCCGCAAAGCCGGCCTCAGGCCTAGCATCATGAGCATCACCGGCTGCGCTTTTCAACGCAGCCGGCCGCAGGCCCCGTATCATGAGCATCAGCCGGCAACGATTTTCAACGCAAGCCGGCCTCAGGCCCAGGACTATGAGCACCAGGTCCAGCATCATCAGCATAGCCAGCCTTAAGCCCAGCATCATGAGCCTCAGCTGGCAACCCTCTTCGCCGCAAAGCCGGCCGCAGGCCTAGCATCATGAGCATCACCGGCTGCGCTTTTCAACGCAGCCGGCCGCAGGCCCCGTATCATGAGCATCAGCCGTCATCAGCATAGCCAGCCTTCAGCCAGCATCATGAGCATCATCGGCTGCACTTTTCAACGCAGCCGGCCGCAGGCCCCACATCATGAGCATCAGCCGGCAACCCTTTTCACTGCAAACCGGCCTCAGGCCCAGGACTATGAGCACCAGGTCCAGCATCATCAGCATAGCCAGCCTTAAGCCCAGCGTCATGAGCCTCAGCTGGCAACCCTCTTCGCCGCAAAGCCGGCCTCAGGCCTAGCATCATGAGCATCACCGGCTGCGCTTTTCAACGCAGCCGGCCGCAGGCCCCGTATCATGAGCATCAGCCGGCGCCACGGGCCCGGAATCAGGAGCACCAGGTCCAGCATCATCAGCATAGCCAGCCTTAAGCCAGCATCATGAGCATCACCGGCTGCGCTTTTCAACGCAGCCGGCCGCAGGCCCACATCATGAGCATCAGCCGGCAACCCTTTTCACTGCAAACCGGCCTCAGGCCCAGGACTATGAGCACCAGATCCAGCATCATCAGCATCGCCAGCCTTAAGCCCAGCATCATGAGCCTCAGCTGGCAACCCCCTGCGCCGCGGGCCCAGCATCAGGAGCATCACCGGCTGCGCTTTTCAACGCAGCCGGCCGCAGGCCCCGCATCATGAGCAGCAGCCGGCAACCCTTTTCATCGCAAACCGGCCACAGGCCCAGGACTATGAGCACCAGGTCCAGCATCGTCAGCATAGCCAGCCTTAAGCCCAGCATCATGAGCCTCAGCTGGCAACCCTGTTCGCTGCAAAGCCGGCCTCAGGCCCAGCATCATGAGCATCACCGGCTGCGCTTTTCAACGCAGCCGCCGCATCATGAGCATCAGCCGGCAACCCTTTTCACCGCAAACCGGCCACAGGCCCGGCATTATGAGCACCAGGTCCAGCATCATCAGCATCGCCAGCCTTAAGCCCAGCATCATGAGCCTCAGCTGGCAACCCCCTGCGCCGCGGGCCCAGCATCAGGAGCATCACCGGCTGCGCTTTTCAACGCAGCCGGCCGCAGGCCCCGCATCATGAGCAGCAGCCGGCAACCCTTTTCATCGCAAACCGGCCACAGGCCCAGGACTATGAGCACCAGGTCCAGCATCATCAGCATAGCCAGCCTTAAGCCCAGCATCATGAGCCTCAGCTGGCAACCCTGTTCGCTGCAAAGCCGGCCTCAGGCCCAGCATCATGAGCATCACCGGCTGCGCTTTTCAACGCAGCCGCCGCATCATGAGCATCAGCCGGCAACCCTTTTCACCGCAAACCGGCCACAGGCCCGGCATTATGAACACCAGGTCCAGCATCATCAGCATAGCCAGCCTTAAGCCCAGCATCATGAGCCTCAGCTGGCAACCCTCTTCGCCGCAAAGCCGGCCTCAGGCCTAGCATCATGAGCATCACGGGCTGCGCCTTTCAACGCAGCCGGCCGCAGGCCCCGCATCATGAGAATCAGCCGGCAACCCTTCACACCGCGAACCGGCCACAGGCCCGGCATCATGAGCATGAGCCGGCAACCCTTTTCACGGAAAACAGGCCTCGGGCCAAAATGCCCTGAACCCAAATTTCGAGGGCTGACTGCAAGTATACGGACAAACCACGGGGGAACTTTATTCAACCCTAGACGCCCCTAAACCGCCAAAACGTCTAAGCCCGGATGCACGCCGGAGCCTCTCCTTGCCTCAATGTTAGGAGGTGGGCCGCGACAGCACCCTCCTGTCGGGGGCTTTGGCAGGGCCCCAAGGTTCGGGATTGTTTGGGCTTTGGGGGTTTGGGATTAGGGTTAGGGCTCAGGCTAGAGGGTTTCGATGGTTTTGAGGCGGCCCCAACTGAAAGGGTTTCGGGCTCTTGGACGCTCGCCCGGAGACTTTTGGACGAGGGGTGTAGGATGTACGATACATGGAAACCTAAACCCTAACCCCAAACCCTGCACCCTAAACCCTAAACCCTAAACCCGAAACGATGAGCCTGGGTGCACTCCCTTTGGGTTTCTAGCTCGCAGTCTCCTCTGTGAACGCAGCGAAAAGATCCTCGGAGCTGGCATCGCCAAACAGGGATGTACCTTACCGGAGCCATACTGCAAAAAACACCGAAGCAGCACAACGAAACTGAAGGAAGGGGGGGTGAGGGGCAACCTCAAGCATCGCCCAACCCTAAACCCCAAACCCTAAACCTACCAGCAGCCACGCTGCGGTGCTTATACAGCAGCACGCCCCTCGCTGCACAGCGCCGGCTGTAGCCCGCGCTGCACAGCCCCTCGCGGCGCCTGGGGGGACTGGGTGTAAGCAGGGTTCATACTCCCCCTCCCTAAACCCTAAACCCTAAAACCCTAAAACCCTAAAACCTAAACCCTTAACCCTAAAACCTAAACCCTAAACCCTGAACCCTAAACCCTAAACCCTAAACCCTAAACCCTAATGTCGTATCCTGATTAGTGTGGACCCTTCCAATAATGAACAGCTTTCAAAAAACAATTCTGGGGACAAAAATTTGGTTGCCCCCCTACAATAATGAAAAGTTTTTTCGGGCATGGGTTTCGGAAGAGGGAGAAAAAAACTTACCTGAGCTGAGCTCATCTGAGCCTACCTGAGCTAAACCTTGAGGCCTGAGGTTGTCGGGCCCTGAAATCTTCATTCTCCAGGCCAACACAAAACTAAGATTTCCTTATAAAATGCTTTTGTACCGAGGCCGGGCAATCAAATTTCCAGGGGGTAGTCCAGCAGCTGCCCGAATGCCGTATTATATAAAACCTTTGCTCCCCCGGAATTATATTTTTTGTGGGCTAGTTGGAATGGATCCAGAGGCCTAAGGGCTGAGGCTTCCTAAACCTGAGGTTGTCGGGCCCTGAAATCTTAAGCCTCCAGGCCAGCCCCAAAGCTAAGATTTCCTTATAAAATGATTTGTACCGAGGCCGGGCAATCAAATTTCAAAGGGGGTAGTCCAGCAGCTGCCCGAATGCCGTATAATAAAAAACGTTTGCTCCCCCGAAATTATATTTTTCTTTTCGGGCTGGCTTGGTTGGGATAGATGGATCCCCTTCAAATTCATATGCAGACAACATTACCTAAGAGGAAGAGGAGAGGAAGAGGAGACGAAGAGGAGAGGAAGAGGAGAGGAAGAGGAGAGGAAGAGGAGAGGAAGAGGAGAGGAAGAGGAGAGGAAGAGGAGAGGAAGAGGAGAGGAAGAGGAGAGGAAGAGGAGAGGAAGAGGAGAGGAAGAGGAGAGGAAGAGGAGAGGAAGAGGAGAGGAAGAGAGAGGAAGAGGAGAGGAAGAGGAGAGGAAGAGGAGAGGAAGAGGAGAGGAAGAGGAGAGGAAGAGGAGAGAAAGAGGAGAGGAAGAGGAGAGGGAAGAGGAGAGGGAAGAGGAGCGAAGAGGAGCGAAGAGGAAATGAAGAGGAGCCGGTGGGGGGGGCCCGGGGCCGAAAATTAGTTTGGGGGGGTCCCTTTTTTTGTGACACTATTGCGGGGGTGGATTTAGTTTGGGGGGGGGGGGGGGGGGAGGGGAGGGGGGAGGGGGGGGGAGGGGGGGGGGGGGGGGGGGGGGGAGGGGCGGGGGAGGGGGGGGGAGGGGGGGGGGGAGGGGGGGGGGGGCCCCCACACCAATCAGGAGACCACATTAAACCCTACTAAACCCTAAACCCTAAACCCTAAACCCTAAACCCTAAACCCTAAACATCCTAAGCCCTAAACCCCTAAAGAGGAACCTAGGAATGGATAAGGTGCTCCTTCGGAGGTTCAGAACATGGAAACCTCGCCCAGCGTTTAGGGTTCAGGGTTCAGGGTTCAGGGTTTCAGGGTTGAGGGTGTAGGGTTTAGGGTTTTTAGGGTTTAGGGTTTAGGGTTTAGGGTTTAGGGTTTAGGGTTTAGGGTTTAGGGTTTAGGGTTTAGGGTTTTAGGGTTTAGGGTTTTAGGGTTTGCTTGATAGGGCGTAGATGCTGTGAAGGTTAGGTTTTGGAACAAGCTCGAAAGCGTCGTGAGGTGCGAAGAGCAGCTTTGGCCCGATTGTGGAAGGCCATCTAACATTTTTTCTCCCACCCCACGCCGTCCAAGGCGGCAAAGCCACCCAAACCTATTCCTTTTAGGGTTTAGACCTAAACTCAAGTCTTTACATAAACTTCTTCATTCCGTCACGAAGGACCACGGGCCCAGGCCAGGGTCAGTCTGGGCAGCCCAGGGGCCCGGCAAAAGGGCCCAGACCGGCCCAGTTAAGGAGGCGCAGAAAAAAAAGCAAGGGGGCCAAAGTTCAGGGGGGTTCAGGAGGGCCCAGGGGGGGCGGGTTAGGGGGGGTCCACGGGTCAGGGGGGGCCAGGGGGGGCCAGGCGCGCCAAGAAGGGGGGGCCAGGGGGCCAGGGCGGGCCAGGGGTCAGGGGGGGCCAGGGGGGGCCAGGGGGGGGGAAGGGGGGGAAGGGGGGGTTGGGGGCAAACCAAGAGCCCAAAGCACCCGCCCTGCCTGGCCTGGCCTGAGGCCCCCTGGTCCCTGGACACGCTGCGGTGAGGGGTCCGGGTCCTCCTGGGGGCCTTGGGGTACCCCCTCCCGGAATGCCAGTGAAAACGTTGGGTTTGGGGTATTTGCTTTATGAAGGGGACCAGTACTGGTCCCCGGGAGAACCTGCTCCGGTACCGGCCCCATCGTGGGTGCTACCGACCTCCTGGCTGCAGGAGGCGGGCAAGCGACCTGGGTCCACCTTCCATAGAGGTGGAAGGGCAAGCGCCGCCCCCCCTCTGTAGGGGGGCGGCCTAGGCCCTGAGTTTAGGGTTCAGGGTTAGGCTTTGGATTCCCGCGTGTGCAGTTCTGGGGTTGATCTGTGGTACTGGATGTAGGGCTGAATTCTCCGTCGCCGCCCCTGCCCGAAACGCTGGACACCTCGGGCCTTCCGATAATCGGGGTGCTTCCTTGGGGGTTCCTATAGTAAGGATTCCAGTATTTTGGGGCCGAAACCCTGAAAACAAGGCAATATTTTGGGGCTGAACCCTGAACTACGAGGATAGCCCCAAGGATTCTAATATTTTGGGGCTGAGCCCTAAACCCCCCCCCTCTCTCTCACTCCCTCTCCGTTGGGAGAAGCACCCCGAGCGATCGAAAGGGAAAAAGGGAAACGGCACCTAACACACGAAACTTGAACCCCCTTAAGGTCCCTGCAATGACGGCCCTAAACCCGAAACCCTAGACCCTAGACCCTAAACCCTTCTCTGACAAAATTTCAGGTTGTAGGGCCTGGTTCCAACTGCCGGCGGCCCCTCACCCAGCACGGCGCCGCAGGTGCAACGGACCAAGCCTGTGAGTCGAGGGGCCCCAAGCCCGGGTAGGTTTCGGGTTTAGGGTTTAGGGTTTAGGGTTTAGGGTTTAGGGTTCAGGGTTCAGGGTTTAGGGTTTAGGGTTGTGCGCTTAGTGTTTAGGGTTTAGGGGTTTGGGTAACCTCTGACGAGAAAAAGGGGAGCCCCTCCTTGACCATTCGCGGCCAGCACGGCGCCAGTGAGGTCGCCTTCGGGGCGGTCTGGGTGTCATTTGGGGTCCGTAGCCCTAAACCCTAGCCCTAAACCCTAAACCCTAAACCCTAAACCCTAAACCCTAAACCCTAAACCCTAGCCCTAAACCTAAACCCTGAACCCTAAGCCCTAAACCCTAAACCCTAACCCCATCAGGTGTCTGGGCTGAGGCTTCAGCTCCCCAAGACCTCAACCCAGAAGCGCTTGAGGCACCAAACAGCCCCCAGGTTCTCATTTAGGTGGGGCTAGAGATCCCTAAACCCTAAACCCTAAACCCTAAACCCTAAACCCTAAACCCTAAACCCTAAACCCTAAACCCTTACATGCCAGCCTGAATCATAACTGGGGGGATGAAATAGCAGTCGCCCCCCCAAAATCCTCCCGCAACTTGCCCCTAAACCCTAAGCACTAAACCAATGAGCACGCAAACTTCCCGTAAGCCCTAGAACCCCAAACTCCAAGCCCAAACCCACCTAAGAGCCAACAACGCACAAACCCTAGAGGGTTTAGGGTTTAGGGTTTCGGGTTTAGGGTTTAGGGTTTAGGGTTTAGGGTTTAGGGTTTAGGGTTTAGGGTTTAGGGTTTAGGGTTTAGGGTTTAGGGTTTAGGGTTTAGGGTGAAACCTCAACCCTAGACCCTGGGCTCCCTAAACCCTACACCTCAAAGAGCCCGTGCCACTGCCTGCGGCCAGGAGGAGGCTCTGCGCCTCCATCAAGAGGCGGCCCGGCTGAGCAGCCACATGGCCTTCAAAGCTTTGGGTTGAGGGTTTAGGGTTTGGGGTTTAGGGATTGGGGTTTAGGGTTTTTGGGGTTTAGGGTTTAGGGCTTAGGGTTTGTGATTTGGGGTTTGGGGTTTAGGGTTTAGGGTTTAGGGTTTAGGGTTTCTCCTTACCGCCGCCAACCTCAGCCAGTCAAACCCAGCCTTGGCCCATCGGCGTGCACTCTTCACAGGCCACGACCTGTCAGACTTTGTCTCTCTGTCTCTCTGTCTCTCTGTCTCTCTGTCTCTCCGTCTCTCTGTCTCTCTGTCTCTCTGTCAGCTCGGACGACATGCAGCGTCCCAGCGGCCTACAGATCTTCAGCTTGAACCGGAGCTTGGACGGGGTGAAGTGCCCCTGAACCCTAAACCCTATGAGAGCCAAGGGGGTGTAGCATCTCAGGCTGGGCAGGAGGTCCTTTACCGGGGAGTTCTACGATATATGGGGGTATACGGGGGTCCCTAATTAGGAAACTTCCATGCTGCCAGGGAGGCCCGAACTCATAAGTTCAAAACTTCGGCTTACACGAAAGAGTGCAGCAGCTGTTCGATTAAGGGCGGCCGTCTACCCGATATTGAGGGCTTAGGAGGGGAGTGTGGCAGGGCAGCAAAGAGGGTTTGCAAAGGGAACGCAGCTCCTGCAGCACATGCAAGTTTAGAACCCCTTTCAGAAAGAGACCCTAACTCGGAGAAATGCCCACATGCCCCTACACCTAAGCCCTAAACCCTAAACCCTAAACCCTAAACCCTAAACCAAGCAGTCCACCTCGGCGCATGCTTGCCACAGCGTGGAGGGCAGCAGAAGCGCCTGCAACTCCGCCTGATCTCTGAGGAGCTTGGGGTTTAGGGTTTAGGGTTTAGGGTTTAGGGTTCAGGGTTCAGGGTTCAGGGCTTGGAGAGGGTTTGGGGCTTAGGGTTTCGGATTTGGGCAAATCCCAAACCCCCCAAAACCACCCATAACCCTGCCCTAGCTCTAAACCTTAAACCGTAAACCAGAAGTCATTTCACCCCCTGAGCCAAATCCTAAACCCTAAACCCCTGAAACCCTAAACCTCCCTAAACCATAAACCCTAAACCCGACATCTGAAACCCGAAACCCTAAACGCTAAACCTAAACCGTAAACCCTAAACCCTACACCCTAAACCCCAAACCCTAAACCCTAAACCTAAACCCTAACAACCCCAAATCGGGAGCCTCCCCAGCGGCCCTTGGTCGAAGCAGCTGCTCCCGGCAGCTGCGGCAGCGCAGCTCCCAGGACTTGGGAAGAAAGGGCTTGGGGGTTTAGGGTTTAGGGTTTGGGGTTTGGGTTTGGGGTTTGGGGTTTGGGGTTTGGGGTTTGGGGTTTGGGGTTTGGGGTTTGGGGTTTGGGGTTTGGGGTTTAGGGTTTAGGGTTTAGGGTTTGCTTAGGGTTTGTGATTTGGGGTTTGGGGTTTGGGGTTTAGGGTTTGGGGTTTGGGGTTTGGGGTTCGGGGTGTAGAGTAAGGGGTTTCGGGTTGATGGTTTGGGGTTCGGGTTTGCGGTTTCGGGTTTGGTGTTGAGGGTTTGGGGATTGGGGTTTAGGGTTTGGGGTTTGGGCTGAGGGCTTGAGGTTTGGGGACCCTAAACCCTAAACCCTAAACCCTAAACCCTAAACCCTAAACCCTAAACCGTTTTGCGTTTGCGGTTTGGGGCTTGGAGGCCTTTGGAGGCCTACGGGGCTTCCGGGTCTTAGGGGTCTTCATGGAGAGATCGGAGGGTTTGCAGTTTAGGGCCCCAGGGGAGAGATGCACACTGCACCCGAGGGGCATCGAAGCCGGACAGGTCGTGCCCTGGATGGCGAGCTTGGGTTTAGGCGTTTGGGTTTGGCCCTAAACCCTAAACCCTAAACCCTAAACCCTAAACGCTGAACCCTGAACCCTAAATCCTCAAAGGCATCAAGCTCGGAACCCCAAGATCCGCTGAAACCCTCTGAAACGCCAAGATCCAGAGAACTACCATACTTGGAGTATATTGAGGGGAACCTTTAGGGGTACAACCTTAGGGGTACGAGTCTTCATCCCTTCGCTAGAGAGCCCCAAGATCCAGAAAGCCGGCAAGTGCTACCCCCCCCCCCCCCCCCCCCACCCGCAGCGAGAGTTCTCAAGCTGTTCCCTGCGACATGTGGCCCCCCAAACCCTAAACACTAAGCCCCAAAACCCTAAACCCCAAACCCCAACCCTAAACCCCAAACTCCAACTTCACATCGTTCACCACCATCAGGGCTTCTAAGGTTTACCACCGCCTTCGGCCGGAGCTTTCCATGGAGCATCGGCCGCCAGCGGGAGGCACAGGTGATCTTGCTCCGCGCGAAGCCCTCTCACCTTCTGGGCAACTTGAGGTTTTGGAAGCCCTGAACCCTACACCCTAAACCCTGAACTCTGCATGTCTAAACCCTCAACCCTAAACCGCAAGCCCTAAACCCTTACCCTTGGTTCTTGGGTTTAAGCTTCAGGCAACCCTAAACCCTAAACCCTAAACCCTGAAAAGCCCATCCCGAAGGGAGCACTCCCCTGCCTCCAGGCCCTCTGTGAGCTCCACCTCCACCTCCTCCCACCTCCGCACATGGAGCGTTTTGGGCTCGGGGTTTCGGGTTTAGGGTTGGGCCTGTAGGGCCTTTAGGGTCTTTGGGGCCTTTAGGGCCTTTAGGGCCTGTAGGGCTTTTAGGGCCTTTAGGGCCTTTAGGGCCTGTAGGGCCTTCAGGGCCTTTGTTTAGGGCCTTTAGGGCCTGTAGGGCTTTTTGGGCCTTTAGGGCCTTTAGGGCCTTTAGGGCCTTTAGGGCCTTCAGGGCCTTTAGGGCCTTCAGGGCTTTTAGGGCCTTTAGGGCCTTTAGGGCCTTTAGGGCTCAGACCTTAAGGCCGAGGGTAGGAAACCCTGACCCCAGGCTTCAGCACGAAGGCAAGTAGAGTGTGTGCGGAAACTAAGGCTTGAACTCAGCTCAGGGTCTAGGTATAAGGTTTAGGGTTCAGGGTCTAGGGTTTAGGGGTTTAGGGTTTAGGGTTGAGGGCTTCCGGGTCCAACAATTCTCCCTCCACAACGAGCTAACCCTAAACCCTGAACCCTGACACCCCAAAATCTAAATCCTAAACCCCGAACACCCTGAAACCCTGAAACCCCTGAAACCCCTGAAGCCCTAAACAGTTTTGCCTGAAACCCTGAGAAGACCTAAAAATTGAAACTGCGAAACCCCTGAACCCCTGAAACCCTGAAACCATAAACGATTTTCCATGAAGCCCTGAAGCCTGAAACCCTGAACCCTGAAACCCTAAATTACCAAGAATGCCTGGACCCAGAACTAGACCTGGCAGCCAGAAACACCCGTACTGGACATTGGAGACTGAACACAGCCCCTACGCAGACCCCTGAGAGGATCCAAAAAAATGGATCCCCTTAAGGGTTCCGAAGAAAGACCTAATTGTAGTATGGGGTGCATTTTGGGGATTCTTTAATTGGACCCTCCCAGGGGTCTGGGTAATACTGCGCTGCGCCTCACAATGCACGGTTCTCTGTGGCCCCCTCTTCTAAGTCCCTGAAAGAAACCTGGCACCAGTGAAAATGTTGGAGTGACCTGAAACATCCTGAAACTATATGCCCTCGCGTGGAGGCATAAATCCCGCACCCCCGGGTGTGTGGGGCGCCGTTTCCACATGACACTTACTGCCGCCGCGCGGCGAGACGCCCTAAACCTAAACCCTGAAACCCTGAAACCCTGAAACCCTGAAACCCTGAAACCCTGAAACCCTGAAACCCTAAAACCCTGAAACCCTGAAACCCTGAAACCCTGAAACCCTGACCCGCTCGGCTCCCCGGCTCTGTGTCGGGCGAGCGCCGCAGCTGGACCACAAGCCTTGGGACGGGTTTAGGGTTCATATAGGGTTTAGGGTTTGGGGTTTGGGGTTTAGGGGTTTAAGGTTTGGGGTTTTGCCTTTCGGGCCTTGATTCTCAGACCCTGCGGGAAAAAAATAGGGCTCGTGCGGGACTAACGGAAAATGATGCTGTCCAAAGTGTGGAGTATAGACAGTGTAGACTACTGATTTCGTGGTTGAAAGGTCTTGAGGCTGTTGAAGGCCTTTATCTGTAGGAGCTGTTGTGTGTCAGTTTTCGTGCTGCAACTGGATAGCACTCTTGTGTGGCCCTGCAAGTCCTCCTCTCATGAATCCCATCTCCCCACTCCCCACACGCCTGGTCGAGATCCTTTGTCTTCGCAGCTCAAAACTGTCAACAGTCACAGAGGTCCCGACGCGTCGGGGTCACACAGTTTGGACTGCAACGCAAAAGCCCTTAAGCGATTGTTTGGGTACCTCAAGGTCGCCTGCTCCGCCAACGGCCGCGATGACTAGCTGTTCGGCGAGCAGATAGTCATTGTAAGCTGCATTCGGCTGCAGCGACATGCACCCCCGGAAGGCATCATGGGACCTCTGCGGCCACGCGAGAGCACCTTCAAAAGCGTTCCAAAGCAGGAAACGCCGCCCACGCCGATGATTTGAGCTTTTTTTCGACCTGAAAAGAGGTGCTTTTGGGGGGGCCCCGGCGAGGCGTCGCTGTTTCGGGAAGAGGGGCTCCAAATCCCGCCTCAGGGGCAGGGTTTTTGTGGGATTTTCATGCCCCTTGGAAAGGGGGCCAATGGCCCCCTTGAGGAGAAGCGGGGGCCCAATGATGCTCATGATGCTGGGGGGGAGGGCCCGGGGGGCTTACAGGGCGAGGAACGGAGCCAATGACACTCGTGATGCCTCTGTCGGAGGAAGACTTTTTTCCGGCTCGTGCAGCTTGTCTTGCGTGCGCCGTTTTGGGAGCTGCTGTTTTACTTCGGGACGCTTGGGGTTTCCTTCTTGTCCTGCACTGCACGCCTCTGCCTCCTCGGCCTGGGCGCAGCCCCTTAAAATATCAACCGAGTTTCTTACCTCGACGGGTGGTTTAATTGAGTTCCGGGCCTGGGTTTTTTCAAACACGGAGGGGTTTATAAATTTGAAGTCAACATCAGGCTTTGCTTCTGACCATAGGTTCCGAATCTAAACCCCGTCGCCCGAACCGGTCAAAAATAGTCCGTGCACGTGGCCACCTTGTCTATGTCGACAAAATCTTGTCTGCAGTTTACGACAAAGCGACATATTCTGATTGACGCACGGCATTCGAGCCCGCGGCTTTCGTCTGTTTCAGGAGCTCGACCAAGTCACAGAGGACACCGCCCTTGCTCATGAAGGGTGGGTCTGCGCTCAGGCTCTCCAGAAGTGCTCGTCCACCCTCAAAAAGCACCTCTGACTTGATCTCGTTGCCCTGTGAGCCATGCGGCTGCTTTGGTGTCCTGTCAGATTTCTTATAGTGAGACTCAGGCAGCCGTTCATCCGAGCGCGGTCCTTCTTCACATAAACGGTGCCTTCATTCAGAATCACGGTGATGTTCCCAGCCTGCTTGTCGACACAACGCCAGTGAAGCTCCTCAGTGGCCGGTAGATGAAAACGTATGGAGAAACATGCGACAAAAAGTCTGGCAAGCAGAGTCAATTGAGAGGTGGCACAGCTGGCCAGAGTCAGCCAACCCAAGCTACAAAGGTCGGCAGGACTCGGCTCCGGGGCACTCCAAGAGCCGCTTCAAGTTGGCATCTGCTTTCGCTTGCTTCGCCTGCTTCTCTGCCTCCTTGACATCTTCAGCCTTGACCTTCTTTGCTTTGCTTGTGCCCTCTGGCAGTGGCCTCTTGCCCCCGAGACCTTCCAGTGAGGGCACCCTTTTGGTTTCACCCCTCTTCGGATTCCAGCAGGACGTCGTGTCTCGATTCGTTTCCATCCGATCACGTGCAGCATGCGGGTAACGTACCCGTAGGGTTTGCGCGACGCGAGATCATCAGCAGAGACCAGCTTCTTGCACAGGTTTCCACGGAGCTGTCAGGACGAAAGCTGAAGCAAAGCTTTCGAGCTGCTTGCGCAGCTCATCCTCGCTGTACCACAAATTCGGGTCTATAAAGGAATGGTTGCGCTTATACACCGCAGCTAAATGACTGCTGTACAGTGTACAGTCCTTGGCCTGTGCCACCGCCGCTCTCCCCCAAAAAGCAACGATCGACGTTGGGCTTGAAAAATCACGATGGTAGTTGAGGTTGAGATTCCAAAATAAGGGGTCGCTTCTTGCAACTCGAAACTCTGGTGGAGTCTGCCTCCAGCTTTTGTGTGGTTCTCGTGCTTCATGATCACTGGCTACTTGATGTTCGATCGTAGGATCCTCGTGGAGCCTGTGGTTCTTCTGTTGAGGCCATGTTGCAAATGGGCTGGAAGGGATCCGACTAAATGAGGCGCCACTTCGAGGAAGCCATGCAGCGCAACTTAACCGAGCGTCGGCATATTCCCTACCAGCGACACCATTAGGCCCAGCTTGGGCCAAAATAGCTACGCAAGGGTTTACGGTTTAGGGTTGACGGTTTAGGGGGCCTGTTCGCCTGGTAGGATTCGAGAGGGTTCCAAGAGTACAGGGCTGGCTTTTGGGGGAAGGATCTTTCAGGGTCCAGGTTAGGGACTTCGAGGTAGGGGAGTTGTATAGGGAGTGCAAGTAAGGTAGCTTTACCTATACCCGAAATGACGGCACATCTAACTGAAGCTCAAGCCCTAAACCCTAAGACCTCAACCCTAAACCCCATATACCCTACAGCAATCCGCGCTGAAAACTGCACATGGACCTTGAGGGACTTTGCCATCCGACGAACCAATTCGCGGTGGAAGTTCTATGAAGCCCTGCACCATGGACTCCCTCAACCCTAAGCCCTCACAACCTGTAACCCTCAATCCTGTAACCCTAAACCCTAAACCCTCAACCCTCTAACCCTGTAACCCTAAACCCTAAACCCTGTAACCCTAAACCCTAAACCCTCAACCCTAAACCCTCAACCCTAAGCCCTCAACCCTAAACCCTAAACCCTAAACCCTCAACCCTAAACCCTGAACCCTGTAACCCTAAACCCTCAACCCTAAACCCTAAATCTGAATCCTGTAACCCTAAACCCTCAACCCTAAACCCTGAACCCTGTAAAGACCCTAAACCCTAAACCCTAAACCCTAAACCCTCAACCCCGAGCACCACCACGATCTGCCGCCGCGGTGCCGCGCCCCCCGCCAGGCAACTTTGACCTTGCGTGGCGGGGCTCTGCAGCTTCAAGGGTTCAGGGTTCAGGGTTCAGGGTTCAGGGTTTAGGGTTTAGGGTTTAGGGTTTAGGGTTTAGGGTTTAGTGTTTAGGGTTAGGTCTTCAGGCTGGGGCGTTGAGTGGTTTGGGGGTTGGGGGCGTTGGGCTTTGCAGGACTTAGAGGCCTTCGGACCCTAAACCCTAAACTCGAAACCCCCAACAGCACCCCAAGGACCTCCACGTGGCGGTGGTCCACGTCCCGGCGCCAAAGCAGCAGCCGGCACTGCGGCAACACGGGCGAAGCCTCGCCAGGGTCTTTTTCTTCTGAGGCTGCAGGGCTTTGGGTCGTGTGTGGGTTTAAGGAGTACCTTCCCACAAGCTCTACTCGCCCCCCGAAACATGGTCCAGGCACGTTCACGTGTACAAGACCACAAAGCCCTAAAGCCTCGACCCTAAACCCTAAGCCCTAAACCCTAAACCCTAAACCCTAAACCCTAAACCCGCTCTAGGCCTCAAAGAGCGTCTGCCACCCCAGTGGCTCCGTGCAGGCCATCAGCGCTGGGGTCATTGCAAAGGCTGAATGTTTCGGTTTTAGGGTTCAGGGCTTCGGGTTTAAGAGGATCATAAGGTGAAAAAAAGGTTTTGGGGGGGGGGGGGGGGCTTAGCTCCAGTTGGGTTTTCGGAGGTCATTAAAGTATACTTACATAGGGACGATAGGGGAATTCGATTATCAATTTTTCCGACCCCTATGTTACTTGCAGGCACCTGCACCTTGCCTTCTTGACGATATTTTTAGGGATGTTGGGTTAAGTGAGGCTGCGTGTTGGAGTTCTGAGCGTAGAAGCTTCCAGAGTCGGCGTGCCGGCAACCCCTTAAACCCTAAACCCTAAACCCCTTAAACTCTAAACCCTACACCCTTAAGCCCTAAACCCTAAACCCTACACCCTGCACCCTGCACCCTAAAGCCTAAACCTAAACCCTAACCCTAAACCCCTTAGACCCTAAACCCTGCAAGCAAAATTGCTAAGCCCTACATATAAGCACCCATGAAACTGAGGGGGCCTGTGGCTGGTCTCTTCGGGAGGATTTCGGGCTTATGAACGACAAGCAGTTTGTTTGGGCAGATGCAACTATTGCACACGCTGCACCCTTCCGTCACAGCAACGCAAATCCTGAAGTCGAATGGAACCCAAAATCCTTTCACCCCAAACCTTCAAATCCCCCCAAGCCCCAACGCACCAAGCCCCACCCCAAAACCCTAGACCCCAATACCGAAACCCTAAACCCCAAAACCGGAAACCCCTTCAACCCCTAAGCCCCAGTACCAAACCCTACACCCTAAACCCTAAACCCTAAACCCTAAACCCTAAACCCTAAACCCTAAACCCTAAACCTTCACGAGCAGCCCGGCTGTGGCGCGGCCCTGCTTCCGGCGCGCGGGGCTGAAGGAGGAGGTGCCGCGCCTGGCGCGCGGGCGCACCAGGTCAAGGGACTCCATGGGTTGAGGGTTGAGGGCTTAGGGTTTAGGGTTTCGGGTTTAGGGTTTAGGGGTTTAGGGTTTAGGGTTTAGGGTTTAGGGTTTAGGGTTTCGGGAGCCCTAAACCCCAAACTGCAAGATGCTCTGACTGGAACTCAGAACCCTAAATGAGCCTCATCCGTGTGGCCGAGCTCCAGCAAAGGCGCAATCTCGGCCCAAGACCAGAGTGAGCTTTGCTAAATCAAGGGGGGGGGGGGGGGGCGTTAGGGTTTAGGGTTTAGGGTTTACGGTTTAGGGTTTAGGGTTAGGGTTTATGGATGAGTGGAATCAGTATCTTAGGTTTCCATTTGCTATTGCATTCGGATCGGGCCGGTCCTCAACTCAACATGCCCCAGCTCCAAACCCCTAAACCCCAAACCCCAAACCCTAAACCCCAAACCCCCGGTAAACCCATAAAGCCCTAAGCTCAAACCTTGAAAGCCTGAACCCCTCGACCCCCAAACCCACAGACCCCAGAACCGCCAAGAGCCCAAAAAGGCCTCATGCCTGCCCCAAACCCGAAACTCTAAACCCTACACCCTAAAAACCCTAAGCAAACCCAAAAAACCCGCAACCCCAGCAACCCCATGAAGCATCTCCTGGAAATATATCAACTTATAGGGTCCGTGATTCATTGGTTTGCTGTGAAGGAGCTTAACTCAAGTTGCTGTAACATGGATGAAGCGTGGCAAGTATGAGTTGCATCGTGGGTGAAATGGACCCCATCCATTTCCTAAACGCTAAACCCCGAACCCTAAACCCCAAACCCTAAACTCTAAACCCTAAACCTTAAACCCTGAACCCCTGGTGGAGCATCCCACGTGTTTCCTGAGGTCCCCCAGCCAGGCTCTCCAGCGAGTGCGCCAAGGGGAGGGCTGACTTCTTGCCTCACACCACCAAGGGCTCTCGTTGTGACCAGGTGTGGAGCGTGTAAGTCTTAAGCCGTCCCTAAACCCTAAACCCTAAAACCCTCCATGCAAAGTGATGAATAGATGGCAACTCTTGTCCGCGAAGACGACCCACTGCCCCGAGCTGAGAGATTGCGCCTTGCTTTGAGTTTGGGGATTTAGTGTTTCGGGCTTAGGGTTTAGGGTTTAGGGTTTAGGGTTTAGGGTTTAGGGTTTAGGGTTTAGGGTTTAGGGTTTAGGGTTTAGGGTTTAGGGTTTAGGGTTTAGCTTGGGGCTTCAGCCCAAAAAGTTTAGGATGTTCATCGCCGGTGTGACACGCTTGCAACGCGCCTGGAGGTATGGTTCAGAAACCTATGTAAGCTGAGATGTGGTGCACGGAATGCGATGTCGATGAAGCAGAACCCTAAACCCTAAACCCTAAACCCTAAATCCCTAAGCAGCCACCACTTTGCGTAGAAGCCCGTTGCCAGAGTCGTGGAGAGAGCTGAAGGTGGAAGGGCTCGTTGGTCCCGAAGCGAAAAGCCTCAAGTCCTACCCTGCACCCCTAAACCCTACACCCTAAACCCTAAACCCTAACCCTAAACCCTAAACCCTAAACCCTAAACCCTAAACCCTAAACCCTAAACCCTAAACCCTAAACCCTAAACCCTAAACCCTAAACCCTAAACCCAAAACCCTAAACCCTAAACCCTAACCCCTAAACCTAAACCCTAAACCCTAAACCCTAAACCCTAAACCCTAAACCCTAAACCCTAACCCTAAACCCTAAACCCTAAACCCTAAACCCTAAACCCTAAACCCCTTCAAGGGCTTCGAGAGTTGAGCTTGGTGCTTAGCCCCCCCCCCTGCCCTGATCCTCGCAGGCTCTAAAACCGAGGGGCTCTTACTTACTGCAGTCTTCTCCAGCGCTCTCGGCAAGCACCCATAATCCTTCTTCCTGGGGCTATTCCAGCTCTCTCCGCTGTAGGGGGCCGATTTAGGGTGTAGGGTTAGAGAATTGACTAAAGGCAGCGATCTGCGAAAATCTGCAAAGTCTCTTTTGTTCGCAAGACAGCCATGTCCTGCAGAGCTTCCTTGGGCACGTCATATATTCTACTGGAGCCCACTCGCGCCCACAGCGGTTTCCGGGCCCTTTACACTGAAAGGGTCTGGCCAGCAAGAAATGCTTGACTGACTGCCTCAAAGCTCCCTTCAGTATGCACCCCCAAAACTCCTAGCCCCTGGATCCCTAAACCCTAAACCCTAAACCCTAAACCCTAAACCCTAAACCCTGACCCTGAACCCTAAACCCCAAACCCGAAATTCTAGCCCCCGAATCCCGAAAGCCAAAAAACTCCAGCCCCCCATACCCTCAATCCTAGACTTCCTAGACTTCCTAAGCTTCCTCGCCTTCCTAAACCTCCTAATCTTTCTCAACTTCCTAAGCCCTAAACCCTAATCCCTAAGCTTCTTGACAACTAAACCCTAAACCCTAAACTTCCTGAACCCTAAACCCTAAACCCCAAACCCTAAACCCTAAAACCCTAAACTTCCTGAACCCTAAACCCCAAACCCTAAACCCTAAACCCTAAACCCTAAACCCTAAACCCTAAACCCTAAACTTCCTCAACCCGAAGCTGCAGACCCCTTTCGTGGGCGCATCTCAGGCTCCGAGGCTCCGGAGGCTTCGAAGCTGCAAAACGGACTGTGCGCCGAACCCACCATTGTGAGATCTGGGGTTTAGGGTTTAGGGTTTGGGGCTTAGGGTTCAGGAAGTTTAGGGTTTAGGGTTTGGGGTTTAGGGTTTAGGGTTTAGGGTTTAGGGTTTAGGGTTTAGGGTTTAGGGTTTAGGGTTTAGGGTTTAGGGTTTAGGGTTTAGGGTTTAGGGTTCAGGAAGTTTAGGGTTCAGGAAGTTTAGGGTTTAGGGTTTGGGGTTTAGGGTTTAGGGTTTAGGGTTTAGGGTTTAGGGTTTAGGGTTTAGGGTTTGGGGTTTAGGGTTTAGGGTTTAGGGTTTAGGGTTTAGGTTTGGGGTTTCGAGTTTAGGGGCTTAGGGTTTAGGGTGCAAGGTTTGGGGTGCATGTCTCGATGTCGGGCGCACCTTCCAAAACAAAGACAAGGGGACGAACTTTTTGGCGACACCTACGGAGGCTCCCACCGAGTCTCGTTGGTGGCTCTGTTGAAATAGTAGGTCTTGCCGCTGTTGGGGTCGCTGGCCTGCTCCCAGCCTGGGGGAAGGGATCCGGGGCCACCAGGTCCTGGGCCACCAGGTCCGGGGCCACCAGGTCCTGGGCCACCAGGCGCCCCACCTGGGCCGCCAGGCGCCCCACCTGGGCCGCCCATGTTTCCCTGCGGCGGATCCCAGCTGGTTTGCCCGGTGCTGCGGTTGCAGTAGTACGGCCGGCCACTGCTTGGGTCGGTGACCTGCTCCCATCCTCGGCGGACTTCTGAACCCCAGTTTAGGGTTTAGGGTTGAGGCTTGAGGGTTTAGGGTTTAGGGTGTATTTAAGGTTTAGGGTTTGGGGTTTAGGGTTTAGGGCTTAGGGAAAAGTTTAGCTTTTAGGCTCCTTATTGTAGTTTCTACACAAACACAGAAGGTTAAAGTTCTAAGAGCCAGCCAGAAGAAAGCCAAGCATCCTGGGGGTAGGCCAGATGGAGCGCCTCCCATGGGCCCGGGCGTCGGGCCGGCCGGGGGCGGATCCCAGCGCGTCTCGTTGGTGGTGCGGTTGCAGTAGTACCTCAGCTGCCCCAGCTTTCCCAGCGCCCCGATTTCCTTGAACCCTAAGCCCTAAACCCTAAACCCTAAACCCTAAACCCCTTGAAATTACAAGGCCGCTCCTTTTCCAAGGTACGGCCGCCCACTGCTTGGGTCGGTGACCTGTTCGGCCGCGGTGCTATCGTACTATTTGCCTAAGAGACCCTAAAAAACACAAAATATCCTTCCTTATCAGGGCCATACTGGCATTATGATCGTTAGTTTTTTTCGGAGTTCTTAAGCAAATAGTAGGGTGGCTGCATGAGAGCCATGGTTGACCTCACTGGCAAGGGATCACAAGCGCCCAACCACCAAACACCTCAACTCCCAGCCCTGTAAGCCCCAAGTGTCCACAGAATCTACACCGTCAACCCTAAACCCTAAACCCTAAACCCTAAACCCTAAACCCTAAACCCTAAACCCTAAACCCACTGAAGCCTGAAGGCCCCTGAACCCTCAACCGCCAGATTCCGCCTGCTCCCAGCCCGGAGGTAGTGGCCCCGCGCCGCCCGGTCCCGGGCCGCCGCCGAAACCTTCTCAACGCTTTAGGGTTTAGGGTTTAGGGTTTAGGGTTTAGGGTTTAGGGTTTAGGGTTTAGGGTTTAGGGTTTAGGGTTTAGGGTTTAGGGTTTAGGGTTTAGGGTTTAGGGTTTAGGGTTTAGGGTTTAGGGTTTAGGGTTTGGGGTGTGGGGTTTGGGGTTTGGGGTTTAGGGTTTAGCGTTCGGGCTTAAAAAGTCAGGGGTTGGGGCCCTAAACCCAACTGGGCGACGCTGATAGCTCATGAACCGCATAAGCCCTAGGGCCCTAGTGCCGAGCCCTTGAGGGTTTGGGGTTTAGGGTTTAGGGTTTAGGGTTTAGGGTTCAGGGTTCAGGGTTTAGGGTTTAGGGTTTAGGGTTTAGGGCTTAGGGTCCCTAAACTCCCTAAACCCTACATCCGAAACCCTAATCCCTACGCCCTAAACCCTGAGCATTGACGCCTAAGCTCTTCCGGGCCTGGGCCACCACCGCACGGGCCGCCACAGCCTCAACGGAGGAAACGGCGGGTCTGAGGCTTCGGCTTCGGGGTTTGGGTCGAAGGTTGAGGGCTCAAAATCCCTAAGCCCTAAACTCTCTCCCCACACACACACACACAACAAAACAAAAAACTAAGCTCCTTAAACCCCTGGACCACAAGCCCTCCAAACCCGAACCTGAAGCCCTGCGCCCCCGGCGCCTTGCTGGGGGAAGCCCCCTGGCCCGCCACCGTAGGGTGAGAAGCGCGGGTCGTTTGGCTGCTGCCCCATAGGCCCATAAGGACCTTCGATTTCATGCTTTAGGGTTTAGGGTTTAGGGTATAGGGTTTAGGGTTTAGGGTTTAGGCTTTAGGCTTTAGGCTTTAGGCTTTAGGGTTTAGGGTTTAGGGTTTAGGGTTTGGGGTTGGGATGTCCCCCTTATACTAACAGTCCTTCAGAACCTTCATGTGGATTGCAATAGGGGGATACGATAATCCCGATTACGGGCGGTTAGTATAAGGGGCAACATCCCAACTTTGGGGCGCCAGTATAAGCACCCCACCCTCCACACGAAACAGAGGACTGGATAACCCCACATACAGATTTTAGGGTTTAGGGTTTAGGGTTTAGGGTTTAGGGTTTAGGGTTTAGGGTTCAGGGTGTAGGGTGTAGGGTTTAGGGCTTAGGGTTTAGGGTTTAGGGTTTAGGGGATGATACTACAAAACTATACACGGGATAGGGATAGGACACAACAACTGCGCACGTGACTACACAGGTACATCCTATGAAAGTGTTGAGGGTCCCTTGCACTTTGCACACAGCTAAACAACAATAAACAACTCAACAAACAAGTAAACACAATACTCCAAGAAGAAAGAAAGGAAAACAAATCAGACAACAAAAAATAGACAAGTGTTATAGAAATTAATATTGAAATACAAGATATTTAAATGAATAAGCAAGTAAAGAAATACAAGATATATAAATAAATAAGCAAGTAAATAAACTCAGCTGGAGCAACCCGGCGCAGGACCGCCAAAGTTGGAAGGGGCACCGAAGCTCTGGCCACCGTAGCACCCGCCGCCCTGGCGGGATGCAAAGATTGAGGGTTTAGGGTTTAGGGTTTGGGGTTTAGGGTTTAGGGTTTAGGGTTTCCTAAACCCTGAACCCTAAACCCTGAACCCTAAACCCTAAACCTCAAACCCTGAACCCTGAACCTTGAACCCTAACCCTAAACCCTTAACCTTAAACAGGCCGTGTGCCCTAAACCCTAAACCCCCGAAAGCCCTAAGAGTTTCGGCTAGGGCCGAGGGTCCGACAACCCTACAGGCCCCCCAAAACACCCCAACCCCTCAACCCACAGCCCGAAACCTGCAACCCTAAACCTTAAGCCCTAAACCCTAAACCCTAAACCCTAAACCCTAAACCCTAAACCCTAAACCCTAAACCCTAAACCCTAGGCTAAGATCGGCCTGCTGCTGCGCGAAGCCAGGCCCGCCACTCTCCAGACACCACCTCACCGCCTGCTTTGCTTGTTAAGGAACCTTTGTGAAAGTAAGTTATCAGGGATTAGGGTTTAGGGTGTAGGGCTTAGGGCTTAGGGTTTCGAATTTAGGGCTTAGGGCTTAGGGCTTAGGGATTAGGATAGGAAAATTGGAGCTTATCGGTGGGCTTATTGTAAAGTCCTATGAGCTTAAAAGTAAAAGCGCATTGGCTTATGTTCTCGTAATATGGTCTTATAGTAACACAATGGCTTTAGGGTACATCATATGGTTTATGGTACGTAAACCAAACGGATCTAAAGTAAAAGTATGGGCTTCCTTTTGCTCTGCTGTGTCAGGCTGAGTCAGCTCAGACTGGAGGGGAGAGGGCTGCACCGAAGGATGGTCCAAACATCAAGGGTTTAGGGTTTAGGGTTTAGGGTTTAGGGTTTAGGGTTTAGGGTTTAGGGTTTAGGGTTTAGGGTTTAGGGTCCGCCGACCCTGGCGGCGTGTTGGATGGGAAAAGGAGGTGAAACCTCCCTCTTTCCCCAAAACGCGGTTGGGGGGGGGTGGCGAGGGTGGGGGGGGGGTGGGGGGGGTCGGTGCACAATTTTTTCGTGGAGGACCGCGCCACCCGCACAGCGTAAACAGGGGGTTTCAGCACGGGGGGGTAGGGGCGCCCTCAGCAAAATCAGCGTTTCCCGCCTCCACCCCCCCCCCCCCCCCCCCCCCCCCCCCCCAACCCCCCCCCCCACCCCCCCCCACCCCCCCCCCCCACCCCCCTCCCCCCCCCCCCCCCCCCCCCCCCCCCACCCCCCCACCCAACCCCCCCCCCCCAACCCCCCCCCCCACCCACCCCAACCACAACCCCCCACCCCCCCCCCCTCCCCCCCCCACCCCCACCCACCTGTCTTTTTGGCTTGAGCTTGTCCTGGTGCTACCCCCTACCCCCCCCCAAACGATTCACAGAACTCTGCCGGGGATGATCTTCCATGCGAGCGGGTCTCAACTATGCTCCAGCGGGGTCGGCGGCTTGAGCCGGAGGCTCTTAAATTTAGGCTTTAGGGTTTAGCTTTAGGGTTTAGGGTTTAGGGTGTAGGGTTTAGGGTTTAGGGTTTAGGGTTTAGGGTTTAGGGTTTAGGGTTTAGGCTTTAGGCTTTAGGGTTTAGGGTTTAGGGTGTAGGGTTTAGGGTTTAGGGTTTAGAGTTTAGGGAAAGGGCTATTTGGGGCTTAGCGAGCTGTTGCGGGGGTTCAGCAATCTAGGAGGTTGTTTTTGGGAGCTACGCCCAGCAAGATCCCGAAGCCCACACCCGCTGGCCGAGGGCCTTGTTGTTATTCTTCTTGTCATCCCATTCCGCTTCGAAGAGCACGCGTTCTCCTTCCTGGCCATATGGTGGGTTTACAAGGATGCTGGTCCAGGTTGAGGGGCTCGCAGACTACGGGTCTAGGGATTGAGGTTTGAGGGTTGCTTAGGGTACCCACAAAGGGGCCCGAAGAAAGAACGGATCAGATGGCTTTTTTTCAAAGCTGCAGTAGCGCCGATGTTGGGCAGAGTGGAAGGCTCCAAGGGTTTTTGAGGACTCTTCTAGGGCTTTGGCTTTAGGGTTTGCAGGGGGGATTTAGGATTTCAAGGGCTTGAGGATTTGGGAAATATTTCCCCAAGCAGTGTGCCAACACTGTGCATCTTCACGTTTCGGCGTCGCCCGACATGACAGAGGACGCTCTCGCCTACAGGTTCCGCGCGCCTCCCGTGGCCCAAGTCGCGCTATTGTCTCGGTACCGTGCATTATCTACACCCTGAACCCTAAGCCCTAAACCCTAAACCCCCTGTCAAGGAGCTTAAGGCGCTTTAGGAATGGGATGCTGGGGTGAAGTTCCCTGCCCCTCCTTGAGCATGTCGGGATCTCCTCCGGTGAACTGGCGCGAGTGCGCGAAGATATCCTCGTTGGGTTTAGGGTTTAGGGTCTTAGGGGTTTAGGGGTTTAGGGTTTAGGGTTTTAGGGCTTTGGGTTTAGGGTTTGGGGTTTAGGGGTTTAGGGTTTAGGATTTAAGAGTTTAGGATTTAGGGGTTAGGGGTTTCGGGTTTAGGGGTTCAGGGGGTTGGGTCATAAGTATCAAATACCTCACGAAACCCCTAAGCCCCAGAAGAAGCCTTAAACCATGAAACAAGATAAAAGGCCCTAAACCCTAAACTGCACAAACCCCGAAGCCCTCAAACCCTAAAGCCCCCAACCCAAACCGTCCATCCTCAAAGCCCAGAACTCACCCTAAGCTGCCCAAACCAATCCCCGCAAAAATCGCCTTCTGAAAGCCGAAGCAAGCAATATCATGAGGCTTTTGGGGGCTGGTATGGTATACTTAGAAAGGGACATAAGGGAATACCATTAGTATTGTTTCCGACCCGAATATCAGAAACCCTCCCTTGACGGTCTCACAAGCCTGGGCCTTGCCAAAATGTCGTTGGTTCACGGTCAGCCCGAGAAACCCTCAGCCGTAAACCCAAACCCCTAGTCCCGAAGCCCAAACCCGAAACCCTAGCCCTAACCCTGAACCCTGAACCCTGAACCCTGAACCCTGAACCCTGAACCCTAGACCCTAAACCCTAAACCCTAAACCCTAAACCCTAAACCCTAAACCCTAAACCCTAAACCCTAAACCCTAAACCCAAGCCCTCAAAAGCCTCACCAACCTGGATCCAGGTCGCATCGCCGCCCTCGTCTGCCTGGATGAAGCCAAATCCCTGAAGCAAGGCCAGGGAGGCATGCTTGAGGGGGTTTAGGGTTTAGGGTTTAGGGTTTTGGGTTTTGGGTTTTGGGGTTTAGGGTCTAGGGCCTAGGGTCTAGAATTTAGGGTTTGGGGTGTAAGAATTAGGGCTTAGGGTTTAGGGTGTCAGCTCTTGGGCTTTGGGGTGTAAGAAGGAAGTTTTGTGGCTTTGGGGATGTGTGAAATTTGGAGCAAAAGGGTCGGGGTTCTTGCGGCTTAGTTCTTAGGATGTTCAACACTTGCTCCTTACTACAAGCTGGTGATCCCTTGCAAGTCCCTTGCTGGGCCCTTACAGTATACATGGTCGGTTCTCCAGATGTTGGGCAGATGTCCCTGCAGTAGGGTTCCAGTACAGGGTTCTTAAAGGAGTGATGTAACCCAAGGTTCCCTAATGCTCCGCGGTACTCCCCAAGGCTCCCTAAGCTTCCCTAAGGTTCCTTAAGACCCTATAGCCCTGGAAGCAAAACGCCTACAGTACCCTACCCCCTAAACCCTCTCAACCCTTGACCCTGTAAACCCTGTAAGCCCTGTAACGCCTATAAACCCGATAAACCCACAAACCCTATGAACCCTATAAACCCGAACCCGAAACCCGTAAACCCACCAAACCTATGCATGAACCTTCTCTGGCCGCGGCCTTTTCGGCAAAGAACCTTTGGAGGCGACCGGTTCCTCAGGGAATCTTGGTTTCGGAGCCTTCGTTTACTTTTGTTAGCGGGGTGGGTTGAGGGTTTAGGGTTTAGGGTTTAGGGTTTAGGGGGCTACATGGGGCTTGAGGCTGTTTAGGGCTTGGGGATGAAGGCTTCGGGCTTTGGGCTTCGGGCTCTTTCACGGGGTTTGGAGGTTTTGGGTGCAGGGTGGCACCCCTAAACCCTAAACCCTAAACCCTAAACCCAAGAAACGGTAGGGGAGCTGTCACCCATAATTCCTGGCTGCTGGCTTTTCAGGTACTGTGATCAGTCGGAAGCGGGGCGGGATGCGTTTGCAGGCTTTAAGGTTTGGGGTTTGGGACTATGGCCTACCCCGTTGTGCAGGTGTGACAGCATGATAAGACTCTTCGTCGGGCGCGTTTTGTGGACAATCCTCCCGTTTTGGGGGGCCATCCTCTGTAGAAGGGGGCGAAGATAAAGCAACCATGATTTAAAGAGCGCCTAAAGGTTGCTGGAGCAGGTGGGAGGCCCTTTGCGGGTTCTTGCTTAGAGCGCTTCCGGACGGTTTTCGGGGCCCCTTAGAGGCGGCCGATGGTTCAAGAGTCCTCAAGACGTGGGTGGCTCAGAAATAGAGTGAGATGTTCTAGACCCTCGGAATTAAAGGGGTGCCCCTTTTGGTTTGAAGGGGTTTATAAGGGAACCCAGACCCTATAACAAGGGAATAAGGGCCTACTCTGGGTCCTCGTACCTAAGTGTCATGCGAGGCGAGAGCCGCCTGGGGACCCTTGCATTGCTCATGGCTTTCCCGACTACCCCCCTCATACTACCCCCCGTAAGTTCCCCCCCCTAAGTAACCTTAATCAGGCTTAATTGTCCCTAAATAGCCTGAATTGTTGGGGGGGTAGTATAGAGGGGAACCCTGAGTTGTGGGGGCGTGAAGAGGGCCCGAAGCCCTGAGCATCTGTTAATCCTGCCCCTCCCAGTCCCAAAAATAGCAGGACTAACTAGCGATGAGGGAGCTTTCGGGCATAAGGGCCGAGGCCCCACGCCTTTTCTGGGTGGCCCTGCTGCCTCTAGAACCTCTCCTTTTCTGAAAACCGTGCTACAAACGAGCCGGGACCTGGCCTCAAGCCTTTCCCTTGGCTGACGTGTAAAAGGAATAGGTTTGGGTGGTTTTGCCGCCTCGACCGGCGTGGGGTGGGAGAAAAGAATTAGATGGCCCTCCACAATCGGGCCAGAGCTGCTCTTCGCACCTGACGAGGCCTTCGAGCCTCTGCTGCGTCCTAACCTTCACAGCATCTACGCCCTACTACAGCAAACCCTGAACCCCTGAACCCTAAACCCTAAACCCTAAACCCCAAACCCCCTCATGCTTTAGGGTTTAGGGGGCCTCATGGCATCCCAGGCTCTCATGGCCACAGCCCCTGCGCTGAAGTCGACCTGCCACGTCACGGCCCTCGTCTTCTGCTTGCGCTCGTCCCACTCCGTGTCCTGAGTGGGTGGGGTTTAGGGTTTAGGGTTTAGGGTTTAGGGTTTGGGGTTTGGGGTTTAGGGTTTGGGGTTTCGGGTTTAGTGTTTGGGGTTTGGGGTTTGGGGTTTGGGGTTTGGGGTCTGGGGTCTGGGGTCTCGGGTCTGGGGCTGTGCAAGGGTTTAGGTTGCCAAACATCGAGAGGGTCTACTTCCGACAAAGACAGCTCATGAACCTTCAGGCATGGGGAAGCCTTCAATTCAAAGCCCTATGCCCGAATCCGAAACAATCCGCCCAGGCACAAATGTCACTTTCTCGCCCCCCCGCAGACTGTCGGCATCGCCCGTGAACTGCAGCGTATGGGCGAAGACATCCGGGCTGCCTGTCCAAAGCTGAATCCCCTTAGGGTTTTGAGTTGTCGGTTTTGGGTTTTGAGTCTCAAAACAAGGGTCTGGCCCCAAGCCCGCAAGATATGACAGCATCATTCCAAAATCTTCCTCGACCACTGTTCAGAAGGCACCCTGAACCCCGAAATCCCGAAACCCTACACCCGAAAGCAGCTAAGACTGACCTTCTGGTTCTTAGTCGGGAATTAGGGAACTAGAGCCCCATATTTACCCTCTAAGGGATTATACAGGGTGCCTCATTCCCGCGTTCCCTACTAAGAACTAGCCAGCTTAATACATCTCAGTGTCAGTTTCCCTTGCTGGCTGTACCGCTTCGAGGGTCGGTGCCCAAACAGACAGGTTTTCACCAAGTAAGCTAAGAGTAGGGTTTAGGGTTTAGGTTTTAGGGTTTAGGGTTTAGGGTCTAGGGTCTAGGGTTTAGGCGTTAGGGTATTGGACAGCCTCGAAGGTTCAGGGTTACGGGTGCAGAGTTTAGGGTTTAGGGCTTAGCAGCTTGCATATGCAGGATGTATCTACTGCACTTCATGAGTGTTGGCAGGTAGGCAGGTCAGCGTGGGCTTCGCCCTCCTATCCGCATCATGTGAACCGTGATGAGTATGCCACAACCCCCTGAAAATCAACTGGCTGGGTGGGTTTCAGGGCTTGCTCTTGGTTTGCCTACTGGGTCTTCATAAGGGAATCCAGGAATGGGTTTAAGAGGAGGGGGTTTTGTGTGGAGCTGCGGGCCGTTTTTTCTTGCGTCCCCCAAGCAGCTTGAAGAATAAGGGCATCGAAAAGGGCCCTAATTTAGCTGCCCACTTGAAGGCCCACGGATAGTTATAAGTAGACCCTAAACCCTAAACCCTCAACCCTAAACCCTAAACTGTCTACCACGGGGATTTAAGCTGAGCTCCCCGACTTATTAGCACCCATGAACCTTCAAGCAAAGCTCTAGATCCTAAACCTCAAAGGCTGCAAACCTCGGAATCCAAAACCTACAGGCCCAACCCGTGAAAGGCCCGGAGTTTCCGACCCCGAGTTTAAGAGTGTAAGCCTAAACCCTAAACTCTAAACCCTAAACCCCAAACCCCAAACCCGAACCCCAAACCCTAAACCCTAAGCCCTAAAGGCGGTCTGAGCCCAGCACCATCATCAGGCGTGATGAAGCCGAACCCCTTCTCCGCCACGAACTTCTTCAAGCGGCCGGTTTGCATGGCTGCACCCGGGAGGCTCTGAGGACTCTTATTTTTGCACGCCTTTTCTTGGCCCAGACACCACTTCTACAGAAGCCTTGGGGGGGGGAGGGCTGTAGAGTGCATGGTGCATGGCTCAGGGATGAGAGTTTGGGTTCAGAATTTTGGCAGTTGGGGTTTCGGGGGTGCACCTAATCCTTGCTACAAGGCCGGTGGTGATGCTGATTGCAGGCACACAGCCTTTGGCATACGTGCTGACATGCCAACCCACAACACTGGGCCAAAACTCAACGGAGGCAGCAAACAGACTACGAAGCATGCTTCAGGCGCCTTATCTAGGGTACTACGTAAACCCTACCCCAGACCCCAAGCCCCATCCACGGAGAGGCTAACCCCACAAACCCCTACAACCTAAAACCCGGACACCCCAAAACCCTTCAACCCAATGATGAACCCTAAATTCCCTAATTGCACCTCAAAACCCTTAGAGCCCTTTCTTTGCCGTAAACCCTAAACCCAAAACCCTAAACCCTAAACCCCAAACCCCAAACCCAAAACCAAAGCCTCCGGCACCGCCAGCCACGACGCGATCCTCGTGAAGGCGTGGTGGGGTCTCCAGGGTTCTTCCACTCAGGGTTTAGGGTTTAGGGTTTAGGGTTTAGGGTCTAGGGTTTAGGGTTTAGGTTTAGGGTTTAGGGTTTAGGGCTTAGGTTGGGATGTTCCTCCTCATACTAGCAGTCCTTTAGTAGGGCTTCTACTAGGAGGACTGCTAGTAAAAGGGGGAACATCCTAAGGTTCAGCTTTAAAGGGTTTCGGGTCTTAAGGGGGGTCATGGCCTACTCCCGATAAGGTTTCGGGTTTACTGCTTCATTGTTGGGGTTATATTAAAAATTTTCATGTATGACAAAAACGAAAAATTATAACCAACAAGGACCCAGTTACCCTAAACCCTAAACCCTAAGCCCACAGAGGGGCGCAGGCCTTCAGGAGGTCTCCACGGCGCATGGCCAAGCGGAGGAAGCTGTCCGCCTGCTTTGCATCTGTTTCGCTTGCGTTGGGGTTTATGGCTTGGGGATTCTATGCGGTTAGATTTGGGGCTTGAGGCTTAGGGCTTAGGGTTTAGGGTTCAGGGTTGAAGTTTTAGGGCCTTCGGCCTTAGGAAAAAAAGCCTTTGCGTTGGAAACGTCACTAAGCTGTGCCTCGAACCATGTGTGTAGGCTAGCTGGGGTTTGCGGCTTCCGGTTTTAGGCCTCTTCGCGGTTGCTTCCGCCCTTCAGCAGCATCAGTGACAGACCTCGAGGCGGGATGCTGGGCTTCGGGGGCTCCGTCATTTCAGGTTCAGGGCTTAGGGCCCTAACAGGCTCAGGGCCTCGTGCTGAGGGTTTCGGGCTTAGGCTTCAGGACGCCCCCCAAAAAAAAGAAAGGGCCGTTGAACCCGCCCCCGGGCCGCCGGACGACGGGCCGTGCGGTGCGCCTCCGGGGTGGCTTTGGGGGTGCGGGGTTCAGGGTTTCGGGTAGAAGCCCCACAAAGCCGTCGTGAACACTTAGGCCTGAAGCCCTGAACCCTAACTACCTGGAGGGTTGAGGGTTTAGGGTTTAGGGTTTAGGGTTTAGGGTTTAGGGTTTAGGGTTTAGGGTTTGGTAAGTCTCCTACTCCTCGTACTCCAGAATACCTGCGCTTCAATCCTTCACGACCGACGGCTCAGGGAATTCTTGGAGCTTCAGACCTCTCTGCTGTCTAGGGAATTCGAAGCCCAAATCCCAAACCCCAAACCCTGAACCCAAACCCTAAACCCCAAACCCTAAACCCCAAACCCTAAATCCCAAACCCTAAATCCTAAACCCTAAACCCTAAACCCTAAACCCTCAACCCTCAACCCTAAACCCCAAACCCAAACAATCCCAGAGTTGTTGGGGCTCCCCAAACCTTGGGCCTGGCCTCTGAGGCTCGGGTCCAGTCATCTTCATCCTTCGGGGTTTGGGGTTTGGGGTTTAGGGTTTAGGGTTTGGGGGTTAGGGTTTAGGGTTTCGGGTTTAGGGTTTGGGTTTTGGGGTTTAGGGTTGGGGGTATAGGGTTTAGGGCTTAGGGTTTGGGGCCTGGGGTTTGGGGTTTGGGGTTTGGGGTCTGGGATCTGGGATCTGGGGCTTCGGGTTTGGGTTTTGGAGCTTCGGGGTTGCAACTCTGTTTCATGCCCCTTATAAACGGCTACTAACTCACACGTCTTTGTTTAGGGTTTGGGGTTTAGGGCTTAGGGTTTGAGGCCTGGGGTTTAGGGATTTTCTCTCTCCCCCAGTTCGTCTTTCATTCCTCGGCATCCTGCTTGTATTGAAATTCTTGGCGCGAAGCCGGACTCCCTAAACCCCAAGCCGCCCGAAATCTTAAAACTTAAGCCCGAAACCCTAAACCTGAAACCCTCAACCCGAAACCCCAACCCAAAGCCCGAAACCCAATGCAAAGCGAGTCCATTTCCATATTTACGCGGTCCTAAACCCTCCGACAAGCCCAAAAGGGTTTAGGGTTTAGGGTTTAGGGTTTAGGGTTTAGGGTTTAGGGTTTAGGGTTTAGGGTTTAGGGTTTAGGGTTTAGGGTTTAGGGTTTAGGGTTTAGGGTTTAGGGATACTCAGGTTCCCTTTGGAGATCCACTGGCAGCAACGGCTCGCCTTGCAAAAGGCCGCCCTACTAGGAGACCCTGCTGCAGAACAACACCCCCCAGGACTCTCCCAAACCCTAAACCCCAAACCCTAAACCCCAAACCCCAAACCCTAAACCCTAAACCCTAGCCCCAAACCCTAAACCCTAAACCCTAAACCCCAAACCCTAAACCCTAAACCCTAACCCTAAACCCCAAACCCTACACGAACCCTTAGAGGCCTCGGCAGGAGCGTCGGGCAGCTGCGAGGTGTAGCGGGCCAAGGAGGCGAGGAGCTCGCGACGCCTTTAGGATTTAGGGTTTAGGGTTTAGGGTTTGGGGTTTGGGGTTTAGGGTTTGGGGTTTAGGGTTTAGGGTTTAGGATTTAACTAGGGTCTAGGGTGTAGGGTTTGGGGAGGGGGGGGGGGGGGCGAGGGTGAAAGGTTTGAAAGATTGAAGGCATTGGGTTCAGAACCCAGTGCCCTAATCCTAGGGTTTAGGGCTGAGGGTTTGCCGAAGTATGGTTCTGCTTCATCCCACAATCAGACCAGGTGTTGCTCTTCTCCTTCCAAAAAACGGCCCAAGCTTTAGATCAACCCCCCAAGATACCCGAAACCCTGAATCCTAAACCCTAAACCCCAAACCCTAAACCCGAAACCCTAAACCCTTGAGGCGCAGGCATTGCCCAGCCATCCGAGGTTGCCGCCTTGACTTGCCTTCTCGCGGTCATTTTTAGGGGCTAAAGGGAATGTTCACAAACTTGAATCCTACAGCCCTAACCCTAAACCCGACAGCCCTAGACCCTAGCCCTAAACCCTAAACCCTTCAGCCCTAAACTCAAAAGCACTAAAGCCCTAAAGCCCTAAACCCAAACCCCCAGGGGCGTTAAGGAGCTTTGGCGAACTTCAGGGCTTTCAAGTTGTAGGGTTTCGGTTTAGGGTTTAGGGTTTTAGGTTTACATCGTTAAACTCTATCCTCTTACACAAGGCATCTATAGGGGACCCCAATTCAAAACAACCCGCACATGCTTGAGGTGCGAGAAACCCGCCAAGCCTGTCAGGGAAGGATAGAGCGCCCGTGGACCATAACCGGAACCCTTTCTTGCTTAACCCTTCTGCTTTGAACTTGGTAGCCTTGCAAGAGATTCTAATTTCAGCTGTTCCTTGGGGATTATAGCAGCCAAAACATTCAAGATTGTTTCCAAGTACCCCTGAATGCTCTTGTTTCGGAATATCTGAGCGGCGACAGGGCGAAAAGGCTCTCCAAGGCTACG